AGGTGTAAAAGTTGGAAAATGGTTTTTAGGTTATTTATAATTAAGTTATGGGTTTTATAAGGTTAGAATATGAAAGAAAAACATTTTATTATACAGTAACAATTTTAATCTTCAAGGTTGATAAGGGAAAACAGAAGTTATTAGCAGAAAGGTACTTTTTCAAAGTTGGTAAACAAGGGTTATGCGTGTAGTTTACATATGTAATGGTGGTAGTAGTGGAAATTAAGGTTGCCAAGAGGATTTTCCGCGATTTTTAAGGTTATAGAAGATGATGTCATATTACATAAGTAAGAAAAAGAGAGTAGTAGCTGTGAAAAGTGAAGAAATTGGGTGAATTTCGTGGAAAATGAAGGTTTTCAGCTAATTACATATGTCAAATGACGTCAGATTAAGTTGGTAAATAGCTCATTCAACGCAGAAGAGTGGATTACATAATGTACAAACTTTAAACCATTAGTAACGGGGGTGTATGTAAAAAGTTAGAAGGCAAATAAGAAATTAGTGTGAATCTTGAATTTACAGTCACAAGTCAACATGTAACACCAATAGTGTTAACTTCACAACTCAATATCTTACTCATCACTCATCAGAAATAGGTCATATGGGTGTCATAAATGATCAGTATCACGAGGGCTACAAGATGCACTATAGTAGATCAAAATTGGACCACTTCTGAAAAAATTCGTAATCTCAAAAATTGGTTTTCAGCTAGTTTACAAGCAAAAAATCACCTGTATTCATCTTAAGAAGTGCTGTACATTACATCATTGCTTCATTGATCACTTTTGGCTGTGAAAATCACATCATACATTAGTAACAAGATCATTACATTGCGTCATTATATGGTTTTTAGGGTTCTTTAGGCGGATTTGACTGGTTTTGGAGGCTGTTGACTGTTGTAGAGGTTGTTACATGTGGATATAAATACTCTTTGATGATTTTGGGATTATTGTTCCCCTTTCTGCATCTTATACCTTTGTTGTAGTGTTATAACTCATCATTTATTTACTATATTTGTACTAAGATCACTTAAATCCGCCCCTTCAAAGCAAGGAGAAATTTATTTACGTGTGTTAAAGACTATAAGTCAAATTGGGAATAATATTTAACAACAGTATTGCTAGTAATAACATAGTGTGTGGACTTTTTTGTGCTTAAAACTGGGAATAATACTACACAACAGTATTGCTTTATTTCTCTGGTGCCTTTATCTTTTTCTCTGTTATCACAAAGTGGTCAGCAAGTGCCCTTGTGCTGGTTCCTTTGAAGAAGGCAGTCTTTAGGCAACTTCTACTATATTACACGTAGTAGATTATCCCTTCTTAGGTGTTGTAAAGCTCTTGTTGAGCTTTCAATACTACAACAGCAAATGCAGCTGTTAGCTGATGAAGTGCTGCTCAAGCTACAAGGATTTGGTTTACCATATCAATGTTGAATCGCTGCGCTAACGCGGGGACGCAACATGATTGCCTGAGAATGAGCTGTGTCTGCGGTTAGCTTGCTTGTAGCGCGGCGGAGCGCAGCTGACCCAGCATTGCTGGGTGAACATTGGACAGTGCAGTCCATTTTTTGTTGGTGTACAGATGCTGCAGTTGTTCATCATCAGACATACACCATGCCCGTGTGGTGTTTGCTGGTTGACAAGCGCACATGAGTTGCCTTTGTGCCTTGAAGGCAGTCTGTGTGCGCTTGTTGTTGGGCGACTGCCACACGGACATGGTGATAAGGTGTACGTACTGTGGGTTAGAAGAATAAGAAGTAGTAGGAGATTGTTGAGTGGACAAAGAGACAGAATCGTTTTTGTTCTTCTTTTCTTCTTCATTGGCAAAGTGATCATCAAGTGATTCAAGTACAACTTCGGTTTTCAAAGGACATTTAGAGTAGAGAAGTTCTTTAAAAGTTGACATTGAATCAGGAATCTTATGAACAATGATTTCAGCCAATAAACCGTCACCTATGTCTTGAGTGGCAAGACAATCAACTAAGTCGGACATGCCTTGTTGTATATCTTGAATAAATGAAGATAAAGATACAAAAGATATACGAAGAAAATTTAAAAAGACACGACTTTGATTTGCACCGTCTTTAGATTGAAAATGTTCCATGATATCATCCCATAATAGATTAGGATTAAGAATATTTTCATCATTGACGAAACGGGTTTGATTGACTTGGTTGATTCTTTGAAGAATAACTCCAGAAGCACGGTTTTGTTTGCAAATGAACTCAGGATATGTGGCGGCATCTGTAGCAGGTACAGTAGGATGAGGCGATGTGATAAATTTGACGAGATCATGTTCCAACATCCAACCGTAAAGATTGAGACACCATCGGGAGTAATTCTTGTCGTTTAGTTGCTCGATGGTCGAATGTTTGGTACCGCCTGAAGTTGATTCAGACAACATGATGGGTTCGGATGAATCTAGAAGGCACTAGGCACTGGGCTCATAACCAATCAAAAGATGACTGAGGGAATGTGCTAGTTAGCAGCTAGCAAGATCAGAATGATCTTAATGACCAATAGAGCAAGGTAACAAACCTGAGGGAATGTGCTAGTTAGCAACTAGCAAGATCAGAATGATCTTAATGACCGATAGAGCAAGGTAACAAACCTGCTCAAAGAAGATAGAAATTGGTAAAGAAAAAGAGAAAGGAACAAAGTACATGAGAGCCTTGATCTTTATATACCGAAGACATCTTAAGAATACGGTCAACAAGATACAATCATATTACTAATAGTATGACATCATTAGAATAGATTAGTAATAAATCAGTAAGGATGAATGTAAGATTTACGATAAACAAACACTAGTCAATACGACTTCAATTATTTTCAGCTAATGCAAAATCAAAAATCCCAATAGAGAATCATTTTTGTTTGTAGTGTTTTTAAGGCTTAGAGCATCCACAAGGGACTTTTCAAATGTTAAATTGGAAGGCGAAATTGTCAAATTTTGCCACAGCGGACTTTTCAAATTTTTGTAGATTTGGCCACATCACCTCAACATATCCAGCTCTACACCCCCCTTCAATACCTTTCAATTTGTTTGATCTCATTGGAAACAAGTGTGTAAGCAACCTCATGTGGTCATAAAAACACTGATTGTTCTTTTAGATCAACATATTGTTAATGTACAATTTGTTGCACTCAACAAAGGATGATTTTAAATCGGTCACACTGAACAAACCAAGCGTGTACTGGGAGTGAAGATCTTGCTGTTTGATCTGCTTCAAGCAAGGTTGTCATATGTTTGTACCAAAAATCAAAGTCCAAAAATGGATAGTCCGCTGTGGGCAACAAGAATTAAAGGCCAAAATAACCCTTGCAGCCAACTATCCAAAAGTCAGACTTTTCAAATTTATGAAAAGTCTGCTGTAGATGCTCTTAGCCCCTAAGCCAATTGTAAAACAAGCATTTTGGAAACTGACTCTCCAAGTTGGACATGTCAGCCTCCTTTCACACTTGACATTTGTGATCAGCCATTGATTGTCAACCATGCACAATGTGAAACAAAACTTACTCTGTCAAACTTCATCATATAAGGCCATTGCTAATCTGTTTGGGCATTAAGTAGCCACATTCTTGACCACCTTTTCATTCAATGTTGACTCTGCACAATATGAACCTGAGCTTCCCTGCAACTTTGTCACAGTACTGCCTCACGTCATGTGGTAATCTTGGGCAAATGCTCCATGGTGCTTTGGGCTGATGATAATTGACACTCAACAGGAGTTGGTTACTGTGTGATGTATTGGCCATTCAATCATTGTAGCTGGAGAACAGGTTTTGGAGCATTTGGTTTCGGCTCAAGAATGATGTTACACCTACCTTGCACAAGTGTGGAAAATTGTAATAGCCAGGGCGGAGCAGAATGGCAATAGTAATGGAATTCTTTTGATGAATTTGCATTACATTATGGCAACGTTGGTGCAATTCTACTCAAAGATAAGAGTATTGCGGCGGCTGGGCACCCAGTCCCTAGTAAGGGTCTAAAAGCATCATAATGAAGTGGTGATGCTGGTGGATACAACATGACTTGGACTGGGTGTTTCCATGGTCCTGGTCACTGGGGCCTGGCTAGGCCAGGCATATATCATAACTTGTATTGGGTCGAATACCCCGCTACAGTGTGAGATATATACATCCAATGCATTGCATTCGCTACCTGAAATGGACTAAAAAAGCATTCTTGGACTTGCAAACTCCTGCCAGCCATCCAAATCCAAACCGCATGACCCTTCACACATTGCCCCAACTAGAAACGTGAAATATCAGGAATATCAAGAGGTGGCCGGGTCGTATGTAATATATCGTCATCTTTCATGTGAAATTGCAAATTCCCTGTGTAATAAGCTTCTTACCTTACTCCAATCTCATTGAACAGCCTTGAAACGTGAATCTGAGCCCAGGATCCCTACATTGCTCACTGCCTCGACCTGTACAGTTGAGCCGCCTGAAAGTTCCAACGTCATCTCCCAAAATTAACATGTGATAGGGTCTATACGAGTGTGAACTGGTGAATCAAGGACTGATGGACAACTCACTGGATGCATCTTCTCGCATTCTGTCTCGTGCTTTGCCAAGTACCCGACATATGTGTACGGTCGTTTGCAGTATTTGCACTCCAATTTCAACGGCCCTACCACCGACCGTTGTTCAAGATCGGCAATCAGGTCAATGTGTTGTATGGACTGGAACATTCTCGGCATTATGACGAAATGAATATGAAGATCCTACACACCCATTCGATGTGTACAAGACAACTTATGCCTTTCGAAACTTGATTCGCTCTTGCACCTACGATTGCCTACTCTCGCCAGGTGCCGTGCGTGAATATGTGACACAACTCATCAGTACGTCTTTCGGTCATCAATGCTACGGATGCACAAACAATCAGGGCACCTATGTAAAAGATATGCGATACAAACTTCTACCATCAGAATCCGATACAGCACTTTATTACACAAGTCATAGTTTTCATAGTGTGGAAGCAGAACCATTACCTAAATTCTTCTTCGCCATATCGATTAACCAGCCTGATCGGTTGTATATCGACCGCGCGAGCTGATGTCCCCTGTGACGTCGACGCTTGATTATTTCCTGCATCGTGTGAATGTATGTCTGAGTATTGCAATCGACTCATGTTGGGTTCTGGAGCATTACTAGAGCCGTGCACTTCATCGCGCCCCCTTTCTTGTTCATGCGAGCCTTGCGCAAGATGCCTTCGTTCCCCGATATCTCTACTGCCCCAGCTCGAGCTACCCGGGCGCTGGAACTGGGAACTGTCCTAGGATCATCAAACACCAAAATCAGGATATCACATCTCTGAAAAAATGACGAGATAATCTCGCACCTGGAAGCTGGGATGAGAACCCGATCGACTACTCTCTGCTGTGGATCCATATCTATCTGACCATGTTCCTGACCGGCCATCGTCGTCTGGTTGAGATAAGAATTTACTCAAGAGTGCGCGTGAGGACATCTGATTTGATGTAAGTGGATCGAGCTTGTTATAGGAAGGACAAGTCGGACCGAGATAGTTGCGGGCTCGATTGACTTGGCTTGGAGATTGTGGCCCAGTGCGTAGGTTTTGCCTCGTCGAGGATTCAAGCAAATTGGTCGGGGAAGGAAGACGGTTCCTCGCTATCAATCAAAAAGACACGGAAGTCAATAGATGTTTAGGAAATTGGCAAGATCAAATAGAGTTCTAAAGAAGAAAATTTTGAGACGACGAGAAGATCAATGAATGAAAGCACGCAATGTGGAAATCATTGGATGGTTCCTTTGCTGCAGTGAAATTCACTTTTGGCTCAACGTAAGACGGGCAGTTCACTTACTTCTTTCATCACCTCTATCATCTCCTGAGATCGAAGCTCGGTTCCTTCTCCATCCCTGGTGGCGTTCCTCATCGTGACTGCGTTTTCGAATCCAGATAACTGTCAGCTTCCTGGATGTGTTAGACTTTTCCATTGATGTGGAGGGGTAGGGTCCAGAAAGGGCAAATGATAAATTTTGGGTCTCAATTTCAATGTCTTCGACCGCTTGAGACGCCCAACAAGATGAATGGGAGGTCGGCTCTATCCTTGATTTGATCTTCTTCACAGCCAATAACGTTCACAAAGGGCGACGATCACGGTTTTCAAAGGATTGGAATTAGAGCAGAGTAAACCTACCCTGAGGACATTCTCCTTGGAGCTAAAACTGAGATTCAGACGAAAACACCGATGTTAACGCACGTGCTCGCTGACATCACAGTCCTCTGATGCTGCAGAAGTTGATGAATGAAGGATAGGATGTAGATTCAAATTATATAAAGGTGAACTATGGAACGTGGTCGAGCACATACATTTCTTGCGACGTCAAAACCATATGAACCCGGTAGGAGACAGTCTGGATGTTGGTAGAAAGTTGGATGTAGGAGAAAGGTTCTGACGAAACCTAAGAGGACAATCCAACCTAGAAAGTATTGTTTGAGTCTCGTGACGCTGAATGATCCCGATATGCGCCGGATGAATGTAAACTTAGATTTCATCGCTCACCATGACGAAATATCCTGTTCTGACGCTCGTGCGATGCCTGAGACAGGTGGAGATTGAAGATATGTTGTGATGTAAAATAAAGGACCTGTGAATCGTTACTGTTCTTTCGGAAATGTGTGTGATGTGTTAATTAGTTTGTTGATTGAAAATGGTTGCGGCGTTCCAGTATTGCGAGACCAACAAGCATATGTTGTGGATAGATGCAGAGTCGTCACGGAATTTCGGGTAGAAAGCGGGTTCGTTGGGGTGATGGTTGATGTGTTGTATTTAGGGGAGCTAAGCGTAAGAGGCTCTGCAATTTCTGCCTCAAGAGCTTCAAAGGCATTTTTGGACTTTACATCCTACGTATAACCTGAAGATATGTCTATATCCCAGGTGATTAGCTTCGGCTATGTTTATAGAGTGTCCCACTGACGTTCGAATAGGTGTTGAATTAAGCACTTCACATTGTCCTTAAGGGGCCAAAAGCCAAAAATTCCGAAGGCGGGTAAGTTGAGCTCAATTGCATGCTTGGAGATTCAAATTTTCAATTGGATAAAACGAGAAATTTCACACCCAATATCATCAAGCGCGGCGATGTGCCCAAAGCGAAATTTGTACATGAAGGTTTCACTAAGCTATTAATATGAATGATTTAGGGCGTATGGCGGATGATCCTCAATGATCCTCTGCATTTTGAGGGGTATCTCCGCACGGAATCCCATCAGAACAGTGCGTGTTGGACTGTTTGTGCACGGCAAGATAGGAATATGGTCTAGGGGCTAGACATGTATGCCGACTCATATGGCTTATCCAGCATCCATGAATTCCTACCCAGAGCTAGTGAGACTCGTATATGTAATCGTTTGATCGTGTTATTTGACGCATACTGGCGAATTTTCTCAAAGAATTCCTCTGTGTTGTACTTCCGGTTCCGGAATATGTGAGACTTCATCTACATGCTTGGCTATTTCCGCGACAGATTTGAGAAACACCGATTTCGAATGTCACAAGAATTGCTCTGGAACAGATAAATCGAAGAGTAATCCTTGTACCGATATAACTGAGATGTGACAGTTGATGCACCCAAAAATCAATTGAGGTGTGGGTAACTCCCTGGCATTTTCTTCTTCGACTTGTCTGATTAGTTTTTTTTATTTTCTACTTCCTTGAGATTTGAATACTTCATCCTCTAAGTTTTGTCTCGTGAGGTGCGCAATGTGTGCCCATAATCGTTACCCTTGAGTGTCCGCTTGCATGTTTGTCCCGATGTTCACTATGGGAATCAAGCGCCCTTTGACTATGGCGGTATCAAGCTTCCTTTCAAAAGATATGGAATTAGTGAAAGAAAAGATGAAGGATGTGCAACGCGGTACAGTTGGACTGTTCGGTGACAGGCTTGGTGTACAAGTTAAATTTCAGGACAGTCCTTCACCAGCACATCAACAATCATCCAATCAGCAATATACTGGATACTTGTAGCCGCTGAAACGATTGAGTGAATTCTCTAGTCAAAGCTGGTCCACCAAATAGCTGGCTTCCGGATCTTACTTCTAGGTAAGATCCGATGTTTTCCAGTTTCAATAAAACTCTGTCAGAGATGATCATACCCGCAGAGAAATATCACTTGTTTGCGTGCTTCGTCGATGCGTAAGATTGACTACCTTATAATCTACCCCTTCATCATTGCAGCACTTGGTGACGCCGAACCGATCGCGGCGTCATAATACCGTTTGAGTGGTATGAACTACCTGCCTACATCGGACAAGGACTATCAAATGATTACTCGCTATTGTATCGCAACATCTCTTTTATCAAAGCGATTATATCCTCTTGTGAGCCAATGATCGAAAACCCAAAGGGTTTATATCTTTGGATTTCTTCAACTAGGTTCAAATCTTTCAACTTATCCCTCACAATTCCATTCCTGTGAGATTTAGAAGATAACATGGTCCAAATAGCAACCGTGAACTAAACAAAAACGACTTCAGAATTTATTCTATTCTTGCTCAAACCTCCGACAGTCGGATTCAGCACCCTGTCCGAGGGCATGTCGACTGGCTTCATTTTTGATCATGTCGCTTATGATTCGGATATCCATTCAGATCCCTTCCACACCAAACATATCATCACCTGAATCTGAAGAGCCCTGCGTCACTCAGACGGTTTAAATATATCAGCATGGTTTAGGGGTTGTAACCAGGATTATCAACTTCAGAGATGTATGTGGCTTCATAGATACCTCACTTGATCGAGTGTTTTGTGATCTGGAGTTATACGGAGTTTCAAACAGCGAACATTATGATCTAGAACGTATAAATTGTTCTCATCACGCGAGATAGACAATCAGATCTTAATCTGATACTTTGCCATACAACCAAAACTTCATCGCAAGATTTTTCGAAAGTCGCGATGGCATGGTCTCCAAGATTCAGGACGCCGTGAGGTACATCAAAGCCACAGCCGTTTGGACGACAGGTCTGATCATGGGTCCAGGCCAGCTAGCGATTCTGAAGAGGTAGACTGGGTCAATTCCTATTGATCTTCGATTACCTGCTGGGATTGGCGTAGCAAGCCTCAAATCCTCGAGCTTATGATGAATCGGTCAATGATGATAACAATCGAGTTTCCAAACTGCATATATATGTTCATAAGGATCGTCCAAAGCTTATTTGCAATAGGCATTCCTCTGTGTGATGTGTTACACCTCTGCCTTCGGTGATGGTGTCTGTCGTAGGCGAGCTGATATACCATGTTATCTCAGATCCTCACGGGGTAATGCGAGTCGCATCTCAGCACTCTGCAGTAAATCAGTTGGTCAGCATTCAGAAGGAGGGAAATATGTTTTAAGCCTCAACCAGCTTCCTGCGCACGACTTCATCGTCTGAAATGACATCGAGAGCCAACAAAAAACGTGCTTCGGCTGCTCTAAACGAGTGTATGTATATATCTTTAAGGCGAAAGTGAGAGTTAGCTTCCAGATGTCTGGGTAAAAAATGAGCACACGGGCTCCAGCTCCATTTCACACGATCAAGCTGTGGGATTGGATAGAAAACTTGCGAAAATAAAGAATAGACCAGATCATATCAGATCAAAGAGAGATCAACTCTTTATGTTTGTTTTGATGAGACGTGAATGGATGGCTTAGCCTTCGCCACCAAAATGGTTTAGCTGATGGGAGCTGTCAGACCGTCTCCAACCGAATTCAGCGAGAGAGCTTAGAAGGCTAGCTTCCAAGTTAGAATTACAAGGATATCACTCTTGGATACAGATGAATAATGCTAAAAGAGACTGAAAATCAAAATTTGTGTCTCATATGCGCGAGAGTTTGAATGAAGAGGTTTCACGACTGTGATTGAGCGCGGGCTCAGCCATAAACATCATTCACAAGCTATGAAGGCTGTGTTGAGGACTGCGTTTGTATCAGATCACCCCTGAAGGTCTCTTGAGAGAAGTAGCTCCTTCGTTTTTTGCGTTTTGATAAGTTTTGACATTCAAGTCGTAATTCATCCAACACTTTGAGCTTATCCGGCCATGTTACTTACATAAATCAATTCAATGCGTATAATTTGTATATCGAGGTGAGGTAGAGCTCGAGCATGTCGATCTTGTCATCCTGAAGAATCACTCGAATTTCACACACACAGACTCGCGCGCGGAAATTTTCACTTTGAAGTTTGTACATTCTTCTTGCTTTGAGAACAGAAAAGAACACAACCGGCAATATGGCAATTGTATGGCGGAAAAATGGAGAAAACAAATACACATACATAAATGGTTTTGCAAGTCGCAAAGGGTGTAAAATTGTCTCACTATGTATCCCTATGTATCCTCTCGAGGTGAATCCTATGTCGTATACATATTTATATTGAATTCCCCAGCCGCACAAAAGCCACCCTTCATATCAATCACATTCACATTCAGCTTCATATTCAGCTTGACACAAGTCAAGACAATTTATCTGATTTCATACGTATTTATATATATCTTTATATCATGTATACTAGGGGGGCTCAAGTCAAAATTTTTTACTACTTTCATCGTAAAAAACTTTTCCCAAATTCATAAAATTTACGCAAAATTTTATGAAATTGGGAAATGTTATACGACATCCCAAATTTTTTTAAGCAGCAAATTTGCGTAAATTTGCTGCTCAGAAGGAGATCCGAAAGAAAAAAAAATTGGTCCTTTTTACGAATTGGGAGAAGTTTTTACGGTACCGTACCGTAAAAAACTTTCCCCATTTTTTACGAAAAGGTCGCAAAGATTTTGACTTGAGCCCCCTTACTATTAGAAACTATCAGGGCCTGGCCTCAGACTTCCTGATCAGACTATATACGTCATTCGGACTTAAGCTGAACTAATGGTTTTCTTCTTGAGAAAAAAACAACAGAATCTCACTCAGAAAGAATCATTGAGTTCCAAAGTATGAGTCCTTTTGAGTTGCGAGCCTCCAGCTGAGCTCTGCTCCTGAGTCCACTTCACCCACCAACACTTCCCCTGTCACTGATGGGCAGACAACACTTGAGACCTCTTTCCAGCACTTTACTCTCACGACTTACAGAAGCACTTGAACCTTATATAGGCTCCAAGATTTGAAGACAAAAATGGACACCCTGCCTCGAAAGGTTGTACAGTCAAACCGGAAAAGCTTGCCACCAATTCCCCGCCAATTTGCTCGAGTTTTGCGGGCAAAATCGGTCAAGCTTTTCCGGTTTGACTGTACGTACACACTCAAATATCCATCACACGCATCCTCCTCGTATCTGAATCTCAATCCCGCTTGCTCCAACCACACCTCAGATCGTCGTCAGTCCTTTCACAACCCTTGTACCTACATCCCCGATGTTCTTAATTCAATGAATCGGCGCTCAGCTTTGTCATGGAGTTCTACATTCAGTGATCATCCTTTGCACGGAGCTCCGTTGCGAAAACTTCTCTTGGATATCCGAAGCGTCTGGATGATAGCAGGGCGGTTTCTTCAGCGACACACACGATCCACCTCATTGAAGACGTCTGTAAGGCCGAAGTAACTGCCGAACTCTATGGCCAGAGGTCAAGAGCAGTCGCACAGTACTCTTCGATAAGATCGATGGATCAGTATTCAAAAACGGATGCCCGATCAGGCAGGTCAATGCAGAGAGACAGAATCACGAACCAGACAAGATCCATCCAGCAGACTCATCCGACCGCATGATAACTGCAACACCGCTGCGATGATACTTATCGACCAGATATAGCTGTGCTCTTGGTCTGCCTTGAAGACGGCGTTTCGGACAGGGAACTTTTCAATTTGAGCTGATGTGGTTGACAGACTCCAGTACCGAATGCAAGCTTTGGCAGAAAAAAGAGATTAGATGTCAGATAGGTTGATGTGAAGAGACACGGTGGCTTTATTTGCCCATCTCTGGTAGCCTGGACCCCGTTTCCGCAATTCGACAATCTCTGTTTTCAAGGATGGTAACGGGGGACAAAACCATCTGTCTGTACTTCACATCTCCACGATGCGATCTGAGAAGTGAACCAAGAAGGCCCGTGACCGCGTAGCTTTGACTTTACGATGAAACATTTATCGGGACTAGATCGTTCGAGTCCTTATCAACTTAAACTTACTTTGCATTGGATCGTGTGTTCGTACGAACGGCCCCACATCACGAACGTCTGGTCCGCTGTAAATTATATTTACATGGGGTATGACCCGGTACATCAAGACAAGTCAGTCTAGGTTTTCACAGCTCTCACTCATTGACCATTCATGGGCACGAACAGCCTGGGCCTGATTCACTAGCAATTTTGAGGATCGATGGCGCCTGATCTTACAATATTGATTTGCACTGACCAGATTGAACCTTTTATTGAACCTCTGGTTGCGCGGTGATAGGACAACGAGATCGCATTCGAGCTGTAGTAGGATTTGCAACCATGCATCCTACACACCTTACATCGGCCAGGATTCCTACGAGGACAGGATTACGGTGCTATATCAATGACTGCATTGTTTTCAGGACGTCCTAGTACTACCTTGGTAGACAGCGAGGTTTTATCCGCAGAGCCGCGCAATAGGAAGAATAGTCGTAAGGACTTTACCGTTTCAACTACACAGGGTTCGTATTCCGATTGCATAAAGTTAAGCTGTAGAGTACTTTCAAGGTATAAATTGATTTGAGTGTCACTGATCGGAGCATGTTTGGTTTTCATGCAATATCCATCGAAAATGTCAGCCGACGGATTTCCGGCTCTTGTTTCCGAATCAGCCAATATATCGCCGGCGAGGCCCAGCATTGAGGTCAAGAAAATTGGATCGGTAGGTAAATGGATAGGTTTTTCCAAGGTAGTAAACAGGGAATTTAATAGACAGGATACAACACCACTAGGCTACATGCATGGTAGGGAGCCGCAAAGTCGATCTCCTGAGATATGTATGAATCATTATTGATACATTCTTCTTGAACTCAAGACCCGTACCAAGGTTTGGCAAGAATACGAGGCACTGATATTCTTTTTATTGTTTGGTTTGTTATTGAGAGAATCGTGATTTAGACATTCCCTTGGCATCGAACAAAAACTGAAACACCTGGCACAGGAGATAGCAATATGGTGGCGTTGATTTTTTGTATGACAGGCTCACTTTGAACAAGTAATGCAGTGCAGATGCATAGAATCAACCAATGAGGCCGGTGTGTTGCAAAGATCCAATCTCTATCCAGAGACAAAATGCGACGATTCGGGTGGATGAATGAGGTTCCAAAGGTTGTGTCTGAGTTGACAATGTTGAACTTGAACTCATCCGATCGTGAATGACCATGTCTTGACATGGGCGTCATCAGAGAGTGTGATTGGAGAGGCACTGTGGAGCTTATTCGGAACAAGGTGTTTAACGCACGAGGAAATGTACGTCTTTTCACGACTGGTGAAAGCACAATTTGTCATAAGCTCAAAATTTGCCTTAACTTAAACAGGATGCCACAGCTGCGCGCACTTTAAAAGGTCGGGTTCCGCGTTCTACAAATAGGATCCACAACTTTCCAAGCTTATCGTTCAAACTCAAACTCGTTTCTGTGAGTTGATCTCATGAGGCTTCTCGTCTGCCCCCAAATTATGTAGGAATTGCCAGGGAACTTGTGCCAAGCTGCTTGAACTGTGTGTACACTTCTGGGAAAGCTTACAAGATGTTAACTCGAGGCTATGTGTGGTTCTGAGTTTGTAGATGTGACAACAAAATATATGGTTTTCATTGTGTAGCTCTGGAGTAATAGGAGCACACATTGGACAAGGTACATCAGTTTACATGGCATCCTGTCCACATAGACCCCAGCTCGGGTACCCCAGACCAACTCACGTGTAATTCTTGCTGGCACCTTTAATTCCTTTGCCTGACTGGCTCACTTTGTTTGGAGTGAACTAGCAAGAATCCAGGACATTCAATCCTGATGGTATCTTACAAACAATTGCACTTGAGTGTGCCTTGACTACCTAACACCAAAGTTCGATTATTTTTAAGAGCAAGACAGCATAACAAAAGCACAAACATCTATAGGTAAGCATTGCCTGTGGCACCTGTAACAAGCAACATGTAAGCCAATCCTACAGTGTCCTTTATGGTCGGCTTGGGAGCCGGTGTTTGGCTTGTAGAGCAGTCAGATTTGCTGGAGCACAACATTGGTGCCCCACCGGGGAGTTCCTGACCGCCTGTGGACCACCTATGCTCTATGTCTCCACAGTGAAGGGTGGTCTACTGCAGGTTATGGTAATGCAACACCTGATTGCCAGCAACCATCCGCCTGCAAACCGCCTTTGAGGCGGCCAGACAGTTTTGCAAACACTGTCTTTAGGTGCTCAAGAGGGTTGTTGGCGGTCACCAGGCCGCCCTCAACACCTTCCTTCAAAGGTTAATGGGGTCTCTGATGTATCTGCTACCAAGGCTTACAATAGTCTCATCAGAGATGCTGGCAAGCATGCTGTGGAGTTTGTTTGCCAGCCTTGTTTTAGTGTTTTGGCTGATGATCTTGATTTGATAGGTTTTGACCAACATTCACAACCCACACAATCCAAACCCCAGCAGAACTGTCTCAAGTCTCAAAAACCTTCTTCATTCTGTCAGGCTGATCTCATTCATAAGGTGTCAAGATCATCAAACTAAATTGCTGTTTGCTAACTTAGATTTTTATTCATAGGAGAACTTTTTAATATGATGTGGATATGGTGTGGAGTCAGAGCAGCTGGACTACCCGTGTGCATGTGGCACACTTGCTGAGTGAACTGGTTGGCTCAATAAAACCTGTTAGAATATAAATTGAAGTTTCAACCACATCAAACTATATTATCTCAAACTAGAATGACATCGAATCAAACTCAGCTAAATCAAAACTAACTATAATCAAAACCAAAACTTAAGGCTGTTGCTATTTGCAGCCCACAAAAAATCCATGTAGGTGCTGCCCCAATTACGCCTACATAGGCGTTTCCCACCAAAAAGCGCCTATATTCCCACAAAATTGGATGTAGGTGTTGGAAATCCTTGGGACTTTGCAGTGTAGGTGCTCAGAGATAAAACCTACATGTCTGATTTGAAATGTAGCAACAACACTACAGTGATGCTGTTTCTATTTATCACAAGCAATTGAATGTGATACAAGAGTCAAATTGATGACTGAAAAGGTCAAGCTATTACAAAATGAGAGTTGGACTTGTGAAGATCACAGTTGTAAGCAAGGATCAAAGTCCAGGTGCAAAAATTGCAGTCAAATTACATAGTACAGATCAGAGTTGTTTGGATAATCTCTCATATACTGTGTTCTAGAAATGTGGGACAAGGACACAAGTTGATATCACATAATGTTCAATGAGCATGATTAAGAAAGAATTGTGTACTTGTCAAAATTTTGATCAGAAGTGGTCTTGATGGGACAGAGTCAGTTGTAAGGTTTCCTCCGGGTTCACCAGATTTGATGTCTTCAGACGTAACCTCAGGGTCTGGATGCAGACCATTGGCAACCTTGTACCAATCAGCAGAATCTTGAGCTTGAGTAGATTTGATGTTGGCATCATCAACCTCATCAATTTCACCTCCTTCTTTGACTGATGGCAACAAATTTTCCTCATCAGCAGGTTTGACTTCTTCAGGGATGGATTGCAAAGTGTGTGTTGGAATAGGAAACTCTCCCAGTATTGATGATTTAACAAGGGGTGGAGGTGGTGCTTGAATTCCTGGCGCTTGCAGGCTGGGGTTGACCATCAGTGCTAGCTTGTGACAGATGCATCAAACTCAATGCTTCTGGTGGTCCCATTCAAAGGTCTGATTTCTAACTTCAATAGTTTTGTCAATCAAATTTGCATCCCCTTGGCTAAGGTGTTGTTGTTGCAACCCAAGTCATGAGTCTGCGCCAACATGTTGCAAAGGTAACAAGAAAGGTAAGGAATTAAATGAAAAAAATTATTCAATGCAAATATAATTCAAATATAACTTATCTTATTATGGACTAGGCAATTGGCGCCCAGCCGCCACATAGTCATGGTTGTGATAGCTCACTCAAGCACACTACCCATTTGAGATGCACGCATCACATATGCAGACGGAGTGCTCATAGAGAGATATTGTAGAATCTATGCCTTGTAGCCAAAGGGTATATATGGCCTTGTTAGCCATACCATTAGTTAGTGAAACACTCAAAGTTGAACATCATTGCCACAATGCTCACTTCATTAATCACTGCCATTGTCAAACCCTTCCAATTCAACACCCTTCGCCAATTGGAACATGGACCCTCCCTCCAGTCCCTTCTTCTATTTAATTCATTGTAAACCTGGAGCTGAGCCCTTGATTATGCGAGGCCAATCTATTATCAATGTGTGACAGAATGCAAGGTGCTCACATCACTATAAAAGCTTGCAATCTCACTGAAGCAATGTCCCCAGCATCCAATTCGCAGTCCATTACCAAATCTTTCTACTCGCAATCTTAACTATTGCCTTAACCAGCATGTTTGCCATCAGCAAAGTCAAAAGTGTTGATAACATTCTCCATAATCCCCAATTTTGCAGTGCTATACATGGACACTTTCAACAATGTCAGACAATCTCTAATCATGTCTTGTCCACCTCACTGACCTTTTGGCCATTGTCTCTGTAGATTGCAAGCCATTGAAGTTATTCATTTTCAAAACTGGTGTGACAACCAAGATGCATCTCTGGCAGAACTATGCCTTTTGAATCCAACAATTTGGGGGTTCTTCTGCGTCTTGCCTTATTTTTGCTGTAAACCCGCAACCAAATTAGCTGATCCCAACAGTTAGTATTTTTTCTACCGTTTGCATGTTTTGCCATTCTGCTGACGCACATTACCAAGTACCTTGTCGCAGTATTAAACCTCAATCAAGATGATCAAATGACTGAGCGCGTATACAGGGTCATCAGTCAAACAATCATTTTGCAAGGTTCTTTGGAAGCCATTAACTACGGAAGCCCTGAGTGGGGTGGTGCCACCTCAACGTACACAATTACACATCTACACACAACACAGAAAAACACAACACAGCACAAAAAACACAAAAAAACACAGAAAAAAACACCACCAAAACCACATCATAACACAACACACATAAAAACAGAACAAAAAAACAACAGAACACACATTTTCCAAACCCAGCTCCACCATTCTCCCCCCGATGCAAATTGTAAAGCGACCTCAAGTTTTCTTGATCCTTGATTGCTCAGTTATCTAACAATCAAAGCAATCAATATCTAGATTATAGGACTGGGTGAATGAGGAACAATGAACTTACTAAGTGTGTTGGACAAGAGACAAATTTTCATACTGCACCCTTTTCAAATAAAAGTGCATTATGTATCTTAGTTGTTTCCTTGATTGCAGTATCTGAATGATACATGCCACACTCCCACTCATTGTACTCTGATCCCATCTTGGTCCCTATTATAGCAAAAGCTCACCATTGGTAATCCACTTCCCACCTAAGCTAGCAGTTTCCACTAATAACCTCAATCTTTGCACTGATTTTCTCTTCATGCAATATCAATCAATCAATTGCATTTTCTATTTGTTCTGACACAGCACTTTCACCATGGCCGTGTGGTGTTTGCCCGTCAACAAGCACACACAAGTCCCCTTTGTGCCTCAAAGGGAGTCCGTGTGCTCTTGTTGTTGGGCGACTGCCACAAGCACACGGTGTTTGCTATATGTAGCTCTCTGCATTTCCCGTTATTGTCTTGAGCCAGTTCCTCCAAAAGTGTCAATGGCAATTCGATCTGCTCCATCCCTGACGTATCTTTTCTCATTAAGGGTTATGTCAGGAAGGGCATACACAGCCATAGCGGTATATCTCCTTCCTCACAAACAAACTTTATTACATACATATAACTACATGTAATTAAACAATCACAACTAGTAATAAGCTGAAAGAACTCGTACTTGAACTAATATGTCAAAGACTCCAGAGATCATGAGAGGGTGATTCTGCTTTGCTTCACATCTTTAAGCCATAGCTAGAGGTATAAGTTGGGGAATCAGGGGTAGCTTTGTACTCAAGCATAATTTAAGAATGGAGTGTAAAGATAAGCCAAAGGAGAAGCTTGAATTTTCAGATCAGAAACCAGAGTAATAATTAGACAAAAATTATATGGGGGTGTTATGAAATTGATTAGGGGAGTGAGACCTTTGGTGAATCAATAGGAGACAGATATATAATTGCACAGTTGAAGAAATGTGGGTGTTATATATTGAATGCTATGAGATATATGGACCTTGTAAAGGTAGGAAGCAATTCATAGCCAAATTTTGGATGCAAAATTGATGCAACCAATAGGGCAAACTTAGTATATTTGAAATATAATGATGTAGGAAAAGACAGATGTCAAATTGAAATTCCAGCCAACAAAGGTAGGGAGATGTAGTTACATAGTAAGGAAGGATTTTGCTGATCATATAATCAGTGATGTGAACAAACTTAAGTAATGTACATCAAGGGGTTTCAAGTTGAAAATTTTTCTATGATTTTTTAAAAATTTGGTAAAGTTTTATACAACCCCATAAAATTTCAAATTTGACCATATGTAAAAAAACATAAGTTGTATGATGGAGCCAGTGGTCATAGAAAGAAACTTGAACATTGCAATTACCCAAGCCTTTCATGACTGGAGGTTGGAATGGAAATAGATGAAAATAGCTTGTCAACCAAGCAAATCTCTTTGAATCTATGTCCAACTGACCTTGTTCAAGGTTTCAAAAAAACACTCTTAACTCACTTTCCAGATGGTTCAAACCTCACAAAGAAATTTTTCTATTAAAACTGCTCAAGAGCTTCTTCAAATAGCCAAAGAAGATGAGGAGGATCGAATGATTGAAGAAGAGATGCCTGGTGAACAAATCCTTCCAACATTTGGCAATGTTTGATGACAATGACAAGATGGCCTTCTTGACCAATCTCCTCTTCAATGATGTGGTCCTGGAAAGCACTGAGGATCTCTTGGAAATCCTGGACAACCTGTGTTATCACAATGCACGTTCACAGACGCCATTCAAAATGGACCTCAGTGTGAATGACTTACTTTGTGATCAAGAAGTAGGGTTTCAACAATCAATGAGGACTTCTCACACCGGCTTCTACACCATTCTGGAAGTCATTCAAGGTCATGAGATCTTCATGTCAGCTAGTCAAACCCCACAGCCTCCAGTTATCATCCAACTTGCTCTCACTCTTGAGCACCTTTGAAGCAAGAGTAATGGTTGTTCTGTACGGCACCTTGATAGGGTTTATAGGCGGTCAATGGGAGCTATTTTCAACTGTACTTGATGTGTTTTCACTGCTATTGACAAGCTTTGTAGTCATTATATTCAACAGCCTAGTGAGGAAAGGCAAGAAAAGATATGCACTGTGATTTCTCTCAAAGGCTTTCCTGGATGTGTTGGTTTTGTAGACGGAACCAACATTCCATTATATCAACAACCCGGCCTTGACGGAGAGACTAGAAAAGATACTCTCTCAATTGCCAAGTGGTCTGTGATTGTGATTGTTAAATGATTACTCTCCACAGTGGATGGCCTGGTTCATGTCACAATCAAGAGGTTTTTTCCACCATGCCATCCCTGATTATCCAGAGCTTTGCTTTTCTAATGGTGTGTTTTCTATATTTTCCCTTTTTTATATTCAAATCCACTACAGTCAACTCCCTCTAACTTGATATCCCTGTAAGTGCATAATTCTCTATGTGCATAGGATTTTTTGCCGCCAAAAAGGGGTT